CACCTGGCCGGCCCGGGGCTCCTGCTGGGGCGGGCCCCGGGAGGAGGCACCTGTGCAGGAGCCGATGCTGCTGGGGAGCCGGACTCGCTCCTGCGGCGTGGGGCCGCGATGGCCCTGCGCGCACCGCACCGCTGTGGGCTGGGCTTCGTAGGGAAAAAAGGCGAAGCGTTAGGAGGTTACCTTAGCTTCCTGAGCAGAAAGCTTGGCTTTCTTGAAATCAGAACATTCCAGAACTTCCCCCTCCCAATACAGGTCGAGGAGGCAGTGTGTGACATTTACAATGGTGACGTTCATGAAGGATCCAGGTACTGAAAACACTGGAGTTTAGAAATGAGCAGCAGGTTTCAAGCTCATGAATGGATTGCCCGGAGCTGTCCCAGGCGGGATACTTAGAACGCAAGCGTGGTTGGTTCTCTATGTTTTGGAGCGTAAACAGGCAGAGCTTGGATTAAACAGAAAAGGAACATCACGCATGCACGCCATCCCTCAGGTGTTCGTTCCGGCTTCCGCAGTCCCGCACGTGTCCTTCAAGTGATGGACAAATAAAGTTCAAAATATCCCTTTCTGCACATTTACCGAATTCCAGTGGTGCTGTATGCTAGCCTCTTCCCTTTAAGAAACCATGATACGATGCAACCTTCCAGCACAGAAGCGCGGGGAACCTGGCTTCGTCCTGGGAGCTAACAATCTGACTGATCTAACTGCCACCGCACAACCACGCTCTCCCCGTCCTCTCTGCGCACAGACCTGGCACCGAGGTGAGGGCGTGGTGCTCTCCTTGATGGCTTGCCTGAGTGTCCGCAGGCACATTTCTGGAATCATTAGGAAGGCTGACCATGGTCCCCCGCCTCCCGGGATCACGGGATCAGTTTGTCGATGGCCTGCTGGGTGTGTGCTCAGTTTCTGACATGACGGTGTTCTCTGAGCATTTACAGTAACACTTGCTACAGCGAGGCTGTTGCCGGCCTGCGCGTCTGTGGGGCGAGGACACTGGTCTGGGCTGGAGGATTCCTCCCGGTGGCCTGCAGGGCGGGGCAGCAATTACATGTCCCACTGCAAGTCTCCGTTGGCGAAGGACCCCAGCTCCATCCTCCTCAGGTAAGTCCTCTGTGTGACCCATAGGTTACAGCTGGCCCCGGTAACCCTCTCATTAGCGCACCCTCATTGGCTCAGCTCCTGGTCTGTCTCCTGCCTGCTCTCACCTCCCTGGGTCACCCTAGAGGTCAACTATTGGAAGTCATTGCGGGTCTGCTTTCGGAGGGACCCAGACTAAGATGCTTGCAACATGCGCATCCCCCATGACCTCCTCCCAGGCCTGAGGACCAGGGCTTACCGGCTAGGGGGCTGGCCTCAGAGGACAGGCCTCCCTCTGCCAGCCGCCTCCCGCAGAGGGTGGTCCTGGGCCACAGCCTTCTCACCAGGCCTCGCAGCTGGGCTGTCGCACACTCACTTACAGGAGGGGCTCCAGGTGGTTTGCTTTTTGGACTAAATGAGGGAAAAACAGCGACAGAGAAGGGTTCAAGAGAAGATCTGTACAGGGGCTGGTGGTGTCTCCTCCCCTTCCTGTATGCCCAATCTGTAACTGAATAGAAGGACTGGAAAACCCAAGCATGAAGCTAATGGAGACAGGGCAGGTGCAAACAGATG